CTAAAAAGTCCGATCTATGCATCGAACCAGCAATCTAGAGCTTTCAATAAAGCTTCCTTCCTATACGAATATATACTACGTACGTAGTAGTATTAAAATGGCTGGTATGACCATCAGCATTACTATATGGAATTTTCCTATTTGGAGAGGAAAGAAAGATGGGAAAGGGGAAGAAAAAGCAACAGATTGATTGTAACTGGTAGGAGGAAGAAAGAAGACAACATTTTACCATCACTCTTAATAGGTAGCTAGAGCCAGAGTCACAGCCACAGCCATAAATCATGATACATGGTTAAAATAATGCTATCTAGATTCAACCTATGAAAGATGTTACCAAATTTCAATTATATGACGATTGATTTCACTTCATTTCCTTCCCCTTCATTTGCAAATGATATTGATATCAACAAAATGCGTCATCCCATCCCCATTCTCATTTCCCCAACCCACCCTTTCCGAATTGATCTGCCTTGCTGCTGTCTTGTCTTAATCAAGCGCAGGCTTATTCTGTTTGATTCCCCTGACGATTTAAAACCTAGGTTAAAAGGTTGTGCTGCTGTCTTTTCTGGGGTCACTCTACTTTCATAGGTACCTCTTCTATCTATTTTTTGGCGTACAGAATAGAATAATAGATATGCATCCATCTGTAATAATAAGTGTGCAAAGAAATCCCGCTATCTGCATGCTGCACGAGCTAAATTAGTGCAAGTGTATCTTATCGAGTACAGACCAATAGGAAGTCAATTAGCCTTTCTTCTCCACACAATGTCCTAAAATCCCCCAAAGCAATTAACCCCCCAAGTTCGAACATTGATTGAATTATTGGACCACCACAACCTTTTTCCCTATACTCCGTACATCCATCATCATCTCACTTCCTACCTACCCACAGTACATACCTACCAAAAACATTAGCAAGAAAACGAGAAAGAGAAAGACAAGACAAGAGAAGACAGGACAATCCAATCCAATTCAATTCAAACCAACTCAATCTAGTCTTTCTGTTCATTCCATTAAAAAAAAAGAAGAGAAACCTCAATTCCAACCTCCATACTTCTGCTCTGATTTGGTCGAGTCACACAATTCTTACCAATTCTGCGTGTCCATCCATCCATTCTTTCTCTCTTTCTTTCTTTCTTTCTTTCTTTCTTTTCTTCCAACCAAATCCAAAAGGCCAAACCAACCAGCCAACTTTTCTTATCAATCCATCGCAATATTATCTCGTCATTTTACACACTTACACATTTACACACTTTCATCCGAGCCTTTACAACTAAAACATACAAAGTGGAATCTATCATCTAATTCGAAATACAATATATCTCCTCGAATCAATAAATATTATAGCAATCATATTTATTTCAGAAGGCTCAATACACGCGCGCGAAAGGGAAGGAGAAGTCCCTGAACAGTGGGAACCTACCTACTTCCTACCTCGTTCCCACGGTCGGTACATCGCACGGTCATCATTCATCGTCAGGTACCGCATAATTGACAAGTCAACTCGTACGGATCTTATTTACAGTAGAAAAGAAAGATTTCAACATTACAATTACGATATTGTATACAAAGCAAAGCGACTCAAGCATACAAGCACACAAGCACGACTTTCTACCATTCTTTTGACTCTTTCCTACTCTTACTACTATCTATCGCGCATTTTCCATCGACCCCCAATAATACATACCTCACGCCTCACGCCTCACGCCTCACACCTCACATATCACATCACTATTATCTTTTCATCCCACACTTCACTTCATTTACATACACATACCACCAACCTATTTGCGCAAAGCTTCCTTATCATTACATAGCACTCCACTCTAATCTTATTTCCATACCTAATCAACCTTTCTCACCCTCATCCGCCCCCTACCACTTTCTTACCCGAACACCACCTAATCTTCGAGCGCGTCAAATCAACACTACGGTCGCAAAAGTATCCAAGCCTTTTGTGGTCTCCCCCACACGTTCCAACTGATTGTTCTGCACAGAGACAGTAACGAATACCCCGATATTTTATCAGCTTTCGTTTTCCGCTCATCTTTTTTATTTGCGACGCCTCGAGTTGTTAAACAATTACAGACTTCGATATTTTGATCACAAAATTCACACCCTAACGCCATATCATCACCAGAGAATGCCATGAACGCTCCAGTGTTTGTCCCACAAGGCCAGGCCTTTCGTCAATCTAATGGCACCCAACCGTATCAATCCTTATCAATGGCTACGATGAATGCCTTCGCAGGAGACGCTTCTTCGCAAAACGCCTCCCAATCGAACGGAGGCGCGTCATTTGCCTCGGGACCATGTTCCGTTTTAATCCGACGTTTACCATTAAATACCACTGAAGATGCACTACGATCGATGGTAGTTTGGTCCAAGGAGTTTACTGAAGCTGAAGTATTATCTCAAGAGAAATCTGAAGATCCAGGATTCCGATCTGCTATTCTCCACTTCAAGTCTCATGCGGGCGCACTCGAGGCCAAAAACATGCTTGATGGAAAACCAAATATTGCAAACGATGCGAAAATGGTGGTGGAGATATTTTATGGAAGTCCCACTACCTCTCGTCGATATACTGTCGATATCAACTCAAACCCGGTGCCATCTAGCTCCACTTCATCTACAGCTTCTTCGGCGGGTCCGGCCCCTCGACAATCGTCCAGATTTAACGGCTCCTTCACATCTGCACAAAGAGTTTCACCCACAAACAACAATGGAAACTATGTCAATAATGAATTGCCCAATCCCGAGTCGAGTACTCGGTATCAAAGTTTGTTCTCTCCACAATCTCCAATTGGAAACCATCTCAATGACCGCACGCGCATTTCGGGAAAATCTTTGATTAATAACGATTCTGTCGAAGATGATGAGACTGGAGAACTCCTCAAAGATCCTGTAGCTTATGCAGAAAATGGTGCCGCATCCATCCAAGCTCGACGCCCAACCAATCCTCAGATCCCTATCACCGCACGTATGGCAAGCTTATCTCTGACGACGAATAATGCTGCAGGCCCGGGCTCTATGTCTTCTTACACCCCGCAGCAGGCTATGCCATCTATGACACATGCGAACACCATGTCACCAGTGTCCATGGGTAACGGTGGCCCGCCTGTAAGTTATCAGCTTGGAAGTCAGCACTACCAACGCCACAATTTCCCACCTGTCAATCCTGCCGACCAAAACCCTCCTTGTAACACTTTGTATGTTGGTAATCTCCCGATCGATACGTCCGAAGATGAGCTTAAAGCTATGTTCTCTAAGCAGCGTGGCTACAAGCGCCTTTGTTTCAGGACTAAGCAAAATGGCCCAATGTGTTTTGTGGAATTTGAGGACGTTTCGTTTGCGACAAAAGCTCTTCATGAATTATACGGCCATCCTCTACACAACAGTATCAAAGGTGGCATTCGCTTGAGCTTCTCAAAGAATCCTCTTGGTGTTCGATCTGGGCCAGGGATGGGCTCACCAGGCCCTACAAATGTATCAGGCGGCATGCAGGG